ATGAATATGTATTAAAGAATCCCACCATTATGTATAATTATAGTGCACCAATAAAAAGGTGGAAAAAAAGTGATTTCCTTTGTTATGATGCAGGATGAGAAAGTGCCAACTCTCCTATCTTAATAGGCTAGGATAATGGGATACATTGGGATGTTGAGAAACATATCCTAATATCCCACTACATTCAAGGCAGGTATTCAGTCAGTCTCTTAAACTTGAAAAGGCCTTAGAGACTAGATCCTTTGGCTAGGTAATGGAGAAGAGACGATCGATTGGAAAAAGTAACAGCCAAACACAGAGGAGGTATCAGGAAGTACATGGGAAACTCAGGAGACACTGCCAACATAAGACAGAAAGAATAAGAATCCCCAAATATCTTAAATATGCACTTTTCACAAAATGGATTCCTTTATAAGTAATATTATAAAATTACTTAAAATGTATAGGAGGCAATAACACAATATTCCACTGGTGTTTACTCTTTTACAATCATCTGTTCTACTTTTGCTTAGAAGAGTCTCATATCTCCTCTCTATATATTCACAACCAATTGTGGTTTTATTTTTTGTAGTATCTGCAGAGTAGCCCTGAAATCATCCAGCTGAATGTGCACATGGAAAGCTTATACAATGTCCTCAGTTGACAGACTGCATAAAGAGAATCAGTTATTTAATAATTTGAGAATATGCATTCTGCTTAATCTTCTCTCTCTATAAACCAGTTTGTGTACTAGACTTTTAAGTACAGCCTGTGAAAGCTTTTGAAATGGTGTGTTTGTGTCTGTTGCTGGGATGAAACCCAGGACCTTGCCCATACTAGGCAAGTTTCCTATCACTGAGCTACTCTCCCAGCCCACTTCTCAAATTTTTTTCTTACAAATTTCTATTTGCAATAATTTTTATTGTAGGACTTTCAAGAGGTGTAGAGATTGGAAAAAATCCTTGTTTGTCTGGGGCTGACTTGCACATTGTAGGTCATCTAGCACAGCCCCTGCCACCAAGTGGCAGCAGCAACTATGAGTTGTCCCAAGACTCCACCAGGGACAGGACCACCCCCAGGAAGAATGGTAGCAGAGGCGAAGCCCACAAGTGTGGGTCCTCAAGCCATTGGGCCTCAAAGTCACTTCTGAGCCAACACTCTATTTGGTTATTTGGTTGTGGGAACAGTTCTCTGCAAAAACCCAAAAATGCCAGCATGCTGATTCATCACAGGGTCCTCGATGAATGCTGGGCATTCCTCCTCATCCAAGCCCAGTGACAGTGTCCTGGCCCAGATCACTGACAGCTGTGGACTTAGTCTTTGCTATTTTTTCCCTTTGAATCATTCCCCCTCCCATTCCCTCTTTTATCAAGATGCCATAGACTGAAGAACTCTCCCAGGGCCTATTGTCACATTCTTCCTTTTGGAAAAGGGGAGGGGAAGGGAATGTGGCCTTGCTTGAAGAATTTGTCCTCAAGCAGCTGGTAAGCCAGGGACCCACATTGGTCAGTTCTCTACTACAGTGCCCCCCAGTGGAGGCCAATGGCAGGGCAAGTTGGGGACTCCAGGGGCTACTTGTGCTTCCTCCGGCCAGTGGCAGACAGACACCTGTGTGCTGCAGAGCCAAGCCTACCTTCCCCCAGCTTCCAGAAGCCACTACTATCTAGAAAAGAGCTGAGGAATAAGGAGGAGATTGCATGGGGTGAAGATGGAAAGGGAAACAGGAAGAGGTGTCTATGCAGGAGAGAAGGTGCCCGAGAGCAGAATCCAATTCATGAGATCCAGAGAACAGGAGAGGAAAGTCAAGATCTCTTGCGCATAGGGGTCTCTGTGTGTTTGAACTCTCCATTCTTCTCTACCAGCGTGTTTCCCACAGACTTTTTCTAAATCTCTCAATGGTGGCTGCAAGATTCAGAGTATGTAGAATCTCAGATCTGCCTACCAGGCCAACCATGGGCAGTGACATACAAGTGCTCTTTCTTTTATCCCCTGCGCTGTCTTCGGGATTTGGACCCATCTCCAGAGTTGCAACAGTCTGCCTTGCTGCAAGACTCCAAAGGCTCTCAGTGTCTGCTCACTGGCTCCTGCTGCAGGGAGCCAGGGAGCAGCCTTACCAGCAGCCCTGCTTTGCTCTTGTTCATTGACAGTGGTCGCCAGTGAACCTGAAGCATTCTGGGAATTTGGATTGCTGTTGCTTCTCAAACGGCTCCTTAAGGCAATAGGCAGCAAACATGGACCACATTCTGCTGGAAAGGCCCCAAAAAATGATGGCTGCTGTTGTCAATTATTGGCATTTTTACAGGGCTATATTTTTATTTCTAAGTATATTTGCACAGCTAGGAAGCATCTGCTGACAAGGATGAGATGATAAGCTGTACTGGTGCCAGAGCAGGACTGGAAAAACAGGCTTGTTCTGAGAATGGCCCACATCTCGAGAGTCACTGTTAAGAAAATCCTCTCTCCACAGGCAAAATCTGCTCTTAAAATATTAACACTTGAAAGGAAATAAGGCATGGAATCCCTATCAAAGAGCACAGTGATGCACACAATAGGTTCTCAGCTATTACTTGCTGGATGAAGGAACCCATGCAGCCATGCTCATGAGAAAACTTGACTTGCTCAAGCCTGGGTGCTGCCTCTTTTACCTCCACTGGAAAGTGCTTCGTGAAATGCTGGCCCCCGGGACTGGTGAAGGTCTAGAGTGTGTCTTTGCTACTGAGCCCACAGTAGGAGGAGAAGTGAAGCCCAAGGGTCAAGCAGGACCCTCTGTGCTGTTTGACCCTCATTTCTGGGTTCTCTTGAACAAGAAAGGGGTCATTGGTGAATGAGGCCAGTATCCTGGGTGGTAACAGAAACGGAAACTGGTAAAAATTGCATCATTCAAGTTGGACTGACTTAGCCTTGTGGCCTGGGTGGGTTCCCAGGATATCCAGTCCATGGCAGGACCTGTAGCTGATGACGCTGGACTGTGGATAATTACATAAAGGACAGATCTCGAGAGGCAGAGCCCATGGGGAGCTTAGCCAGGGCCACCCCTGACCCCAACCCACCCTTGCATATCTCCATGCTATGTGCTATGTCCAGTCCAACCCCATGGCTACTGGACATTGCCCATTTTTCTGATAGACACATTCTTTCTCTGTCAACGACCCACATGAAATGTAAGTGAAGGAATTTTGAAATTTCCTTCTTATCCCACTACCTGTCTGCTGCTTGCTTGTTATGTGCTTTGTTTATTTTGGATCCATGTGCCTCCAGGTACCAAAAATGACTTGATGGTATTTGATGGCGTGCTAGCCACTCTTATTTTGTTGTTGTTGTTGTTGTTTTGTTTGTTTTAAACCTTAGCCATTTTCTATTCTGGGCAATTACAACTCTGTTTACTATAAGTTCCTCTAAGGAGGTGTTTTCTTTAATCCCAACCCACAGATTGCTGCGTGGGCAGTAACTTTTGAATTACATTTAAACAGTATTAAGTTGGGGGCTGCAAACTAGGAAGATTTTAATTTGAAGGTGCTGGTGAGGACAGAGGAGGGGAAGAGAAGTTAGTCATGAGATGGCCAGTGAGCTGAATGAAGGGAGGCTAAAAAATAGTGCTACATACTCATAACTAGGAGAAAATCTCTGTGCCTTCTACTCCCTATAAGATAGTGTGATTGAGCAGGAAGTGCTTATTTCTGGAGGTTTAGCTGATAGAAAATCTGTGGTCCCAAGACAAGCACATTCCATCCAGCCCTTCTTAATACTCCTCAACCCTCCCCCACCTTGTGCTGGGGCTCAGCTCACAATTTACTGGAACAGTCAGGATTCTTTCTGTTGAAAGTGGCAGAAACTCAACTCCCATTATCTTAAGCAAAGAGAGAATTTGTTGATTCACATGTTAGGAAGGATACTATGAAAGCTCAAAGGTCAAATGAAAACTATATAAGAACTAGGGTCTTGTGACTGAATAGAGTCTCTCTCTCTCTCTCTCTCTCTCTCTCTCTCTCTCTCTCTCTCTCTCTCTCTCTCTCTCTCTCTCTCTCCACTCTGCTTATTGCTGTAAAGCTCCTTCTGCAGATCAGAGCTCCATGTACTAAAAAGAGGGCCATTTAAAGCTCTATACAGCATTCTCATCTCCTAGCTTAGCAACCCTAGAAGAAGGGGTTTCTAGCTTACAACCTCCATGTACAACCTCAGAAGAGAGGTGTCCTGTAGCTGTGGCTCAGTGACAGAGTACTTGTCCAGAGTAAGCAAGGCCCTAGATTTGAACTCAAACATAAGAAAAAAAAATTCCAGAAAGGGTCTCTTTTGTCTAGCTCAGGACTGGTGCTGTCCAGAATGGAGTGCATGATGGTCTCAGCTGCAGTCCTGACCCTACCTGTGGCACAGAGAGCTGGAGAAAGGCAAGAGAGGGTTACCTGGAGTAGAAACAGCTATTTCCAAGATCCTCTGCACTCACCCTTATCCTAAACCATCAGCTGACACTGAAAAGGGCTTAGGCCCCAAATCTCAATGGAAACACAGAAGCAAAGCAAATCCTACCTGGAAAGCCACCTTCCGTCACTTAGCCAAGCAACCACCAGGTCTCCTAGAGTCTGCCTTCTCATCATCAGCTGTGCTATCCAAGCTTTGCACCTACTGTGCAAGCTTGGTAGCAGGTCAGAGCATCCCTCTGCCCTGAAAAGAAGCAATAGTGGCTTCCCCACAGGGTTGTGGTTCACACTGGTGTTAAATGGACAGTTCGCACTGGTGTCAGATAGATCCCAGAAGGGTGGCCAGTGTCCCACAGCCCCAGTGCTCACAGTTCTATCCTAGGAATCTTGACTCCGGCACAGGGGGCCATATTGGTTTCTGGCGGCTCCCAGACTTGCATGTTCATTAGGAATTTCATGGAGTTGCTTGGTCTTAAATGGTTCCAGAACGTTCCTACTGCTGTACTGCTGCGCCAGAATGGGCTCTGGCTCACTGTTTTGTCTCATGGACATTTCCAGTCTCCAAGACCTCATCCTCTTTGAGTCTCTCTTTCTGTGCACATTCAGGAGTATACACATTTCTGTCCAGCACCCTGAAGTCTCTGGAAGAAAAGGACCATATCCACCGGGTCCTTGACAAGATCACAGACACCTTGATCCACCTGATGGCCAAGGCAGGCCTGACCCTACAGCAGCAGCACCGGCGCCTGGCCCAGCTCCTGCTCATCCTCTCCCACATCCGGCACATGAGGTCAGTCATCCATGGGGTCCCCTGGGAGAGACCTAAAGGAAGCTTGCCCCAGCCCTGTGTGACAGCTGGCTCAGGAAGGGCCACTGCCTATATATGGAGAGCACCCTTGAGACAGTTCTGGGCGTATAATAAGCTCGCATGCTATGGTAGGATAGAGGAGGGAGGCGTTGCTCTGCCTAGGGCACGGGGCAAGTGTTGGAGAACGCTCCATAGAGAGTGTGGTGTGTGTGCTGGGTTGGAAGCATGTGCAAGGTCTTATGGGTGGGGGAGGAGGCCAATCAAAGCAAGTCAGTCAGCACAAGCCCCTCTCCTGAGGGGGCACATCCCTCCTGCTCCCTTCCAAGCTCGCCTGAGTTACACTCAGAGATCCTAAATGACAGACTGTTAAGATGCCTGATGGAGGGTCAACCTTGACCTCTCCATAGCTCCTTAACCCCTCCTTGTCATCTCTATTCCATTTCCACTGCCCTTTCTGTACCAGCCACCTAACATGTCTGTCTGCCTTTAATCTTGACCCTTTCAAACTATCCTGCGTGATGTAGCCAGAGTGATCATTCTTATACCAAATCTGATCATGTCATCTCCCTGCTTAAAACCTCTCAGGGGCTTCCCATTGCTTTTAAATAAAAGTTATATAAATCCCTTCATTTTGTTTATGTTACTCCTTGTGGTCCAGCCCTACTTAACTTACAGGGACCTCCTTGTAGTCTGAGCCCTGCCTCCATAGTAAGCTGCTCTCTATGTCCTCTGGGAGTCTGCACCTCAGGCTGCAGATGGGCCAGGCGGCTCTGCTGATCTCAGCTGGATGCACTCACACATCTGTAGGGCACAGGTGGGAGAGTCTGCTTCAAGCTGCAGCCCTGCAGGTGGGCCAGCTGACAGCTTTATGTGTCTGGTGCATCTTCCTTGCACCCACAGGTTGACGTGTGCTGGGCAGAGGCAGATGAAGCAAGCCCTTTTGGGCAAGTGCATCATTTCCATTAACATTCCCCTAGCCAACCAAGTCAGGTGGTGAACCCAAAGTCAAGTATCATGGACACATGGTGGCAAGGGTGTGTGTGTGTGTGAATATTTCTAAATAGTACTCAAACTTGTCATCACGTAGATCTCTCTCCTTTCTGGAAAGTATGTCCTGACCCTTTAGACTTGTTCTTTTTAATTGTTATTGCCCATTTCATTAACCTCCTGCCCAAACAGACTGTAAACTCTGTGAGACTATGATCACAATTTGTCTTACCCTGTATACCCTACACAACCCAGCACAGTGCTAAGCACATAGTAAAATGCAGTGAATATTATTTACAGAGGAAATAGAATCTCTTTATGCCAAAAGGTAAAGGTAGCCTCATTTCTTTTCTAAAGAATCATGAAACTTGGCTGCTAACAGGCTTAGGGGATGCCATTCTCATAGGTAGAGCTCAGCCTGCAAGGAAGAGATGAAGAAAATATGGATTCTTTATCACAGACTCCAGAAAGTTCACGATAATGACAATGATATGAAATGATAGCACTAGAGAAAAGTACCATGGGTGATAACACCTGCATGACCTTGAACTTATACAAGGACCCTAGGAATCAAAAAGAGGTATCTTTGAGGAAAGGACCAAGATGTTTAGAGGGAGTGGAAATAGTTCATTTTCAAGGGACCTTCATTCAATCTTTAGCTGTATGATTCAAATGGCAAGAAGTTTTTCCCATCAAAGTCCTAGTTGTCTCCTTTCTGGAGACAATCTTGCAAAATTGTTAGATTCTTGATAAAAGAGAAGTACCTTTTTTCCCTTTATATCCCCCAGAGTGCTGTAGATGAATACTTACATACAAAATGTGCTCATAAAATTATAACCAAGTGAATGAATGAATGAGAGAATGAATCAGTGAACAAATGAGTCCTGATAGGTTTTCCCCTTCCTATGAATCTGAAATTCATAAGTAAAGAATTCCACTTGGGAAAGTTGGGAGAAAGTGATTACAATCTCTGTTCTCAGGATTCCCCAAGAATCCCTGTGTAGCAGACGAAGGACTCACACTACCAGGTACAGTAGGTGATTGCACCAGGGTAAACAATCCAACCCTTTCCTGTCTTTGCCTTTTGATGAGCCTCCTAGAGAAAGAAGCAGAAAAATGGCTCAGAATATCATATATCCTGCCGGATTACCTGGTGCAGACAATAACCTTACCTGGAAGAAAACAGACCGTCTTTTACTTTGAGCTAGGAATTTCACGCATGTTATAGAAATCCCACACCCCATGGATGTGTTTATTTGTTGATAGGAATCGATGACTATTCAAATTCATTAACAGCCTGACAGCATTAGCAAGCTGAACTGGTTAATATCAAGTATATTGGCACTAGACATCCAGCCCTGGCTGATTTTACTGGGCACAGCAGAGTGGAAGCTCTGTTAGAATTTCTTTAGGAATTGTGTGAAAAACTAGAGAAAGATGTTGTTTTATTGAAAGCTTTGAGCGTCCCACCCCCTCACTCTCTTTCTCTCTTCTTCTCTCTCTTTCCCTCTCTCCCTCCCTTCCCATACCCCTCTGTCTCTCTCACTCATTCACATATACAAAATAATATTTTGGTGCCTCACGACAGCTAATCTAAGTCCCAGAACTCTGTTTTGTCAAGCGTGGCTCCAGCCATATGCTGCTATTCAAAGAATTTAACACCAGATTTCATCTGACTGTAAATGTGATTCATTACATTGCATGAGCAAGACGGTGGCGGATCCAGGGGGCATTTAACTTTAACGGCATCTAAATTAAATAGCAAAACAATAACAAAATAACACTCATCTAGGTTGGGCTGTAGACCTGGATGACTCTGATGCTGGGTTTCCATGGCAGGACCCCAATCTGTGCTTGCGTCCCCCTCGCCCCACCCCCAACACTGCAAATATTTTTCCAGGACATTTTTTTGGTCCTGTCTCCTCATGATACATATTTTCTTTCTTAAGAAATGTCAAGCTAGATAGTCATTGTTGCAGCCCCCTCCCACCTCATGCTGTGGTGAGAACAGCAGAGAGGTGGCTGGTGGAGGGTAGAGGAGGGGCATGTGACAGAGAGGAGTGACATTTGCCTATGTTCCCCTTGCCGATTTACCCCCATTTGCAAGACACCAAGTTCCGGACACAGTTCTAGGCTATGGTAGATGACAGGATGGACAGATCCTCTCCTCCTGTAACTTGTACTATGCTGGGTTGTGTGTGTGTGTGTGTGTGTGTGGTCTGTGTGGAGTGTGTGTCTGTGTGTGTGGGGGGGGAGGAATAAACACACATGAGCACACAGGAGAATTCCAGGTTGTGTTAACTGTAAGAAGGAAGACGGAACAATTCAGAAGAGAGCAGCTCAGACTGTAGGGCCAGGGCTTCGTGCCACGGGGGTAGCAGAAACTTCCCAGAGGAGGTGACATTTGAAGATTTGGGGAAGTACATCCAGGGAGAGAGATTGGCAGGTGCAGAGCCCCTAAATCTAGGAGGATCCTAGTTCCTTTACAGGACAGCACAAAAACCAGTGTGGCTAAGGAGTGTGAGTTAGGGACAGAAGACAGGATGAGCACCATGAAGGAGGACAAGGAAGGTCACTTGGGCCTTGGAGAGTGTGGACAGAAATTTGTTTTGTTCTGAGTTTGCTGGGAAGCCATGGAGAGGTTTAAGCAAGGGAGCTTCTTGAACAGCTTCAAATATCATAGTTTCACTCCTGCCTGGCTGTACCTCTTCTGTTCTCTTTTCACATGTAAAGGTGAGAGAGGGGAATGGGGTCTCATGCCAGGATGTAGAAGAAAGTCACCTGCGTAAACAGTACACTGTCAGTGAAGTGACTGGAGAGAGAGTGGGTTTGTGGGGGGGGGGTGGGACTGCCCTTGTAGGATGGGAAAATGAAACACAAATGAAGACAAGTCCCAGACTGGGGTCTCAGCAGCCCTCAGGTTTCTGCAGGTGCCGTCCAAAGATGGGTCTTTAAATGGGAAGGAAGACTGGTTTACAAGCGTCCCTGGAGTCCCTCTTACTTCCCCTGGGAATTTCAGGTGTCCTAGGGCTCCGCTGGTGTCTAATGTGGTCCTCTCTGTGCCCCCTCCCCAGCAACAAGGGCATGGAGCATCTGTACAGCATGAAGTGCAAGAACGTGGTGCCCCTGTACGACCTGCTGCTGGAGATGCTGGATGCCCACCGCCTGCACGCCCCAGCCAGCCGTGGAGGAGGGTCCCCAGAGGAGTCTAGCCAGAGCCTGCTGGCCACCACGGGCTCCACTTCAGCACATTCCTTGCAGACATACTACATCCCCCAGGAAGCAGAGGGTTTCCCCAACACAATGTGAGAGCTCTCGGCCTCTCCCAAAGCTCTGAGAATCCCTGCAGCTTTTTACCCAAGCCAAGCATCACTTTAGCGGAATTCTGTCTCCTGCACACACCAGGCATGCATCCACCACCAGTGGCTTTCTAGTATGAGTGGCCGTTCATTTGCTTGCTCAGTTCTTAGTGATACATCTTCTGTTAGGAACAGCCAAAGGGAGTCCAAGGCCAATTCTTGGTAACAGCTCTCTTCCCCCTTTGCTACCTGACTGAGAATGAGGATTCCCATAGCCCTTTGCAACTGAACTCAACCTATGAGATGACTGTGCTTTGAAACGACTTGTTGAGGCCCAGGCCTGGAGAGTAGCCATTTCACTTCTGATAAGCACTTTGTGATGGCTCCAAGAAAAAGCCTCAGGAAAGAATTGATAGTGGCTCTTTTAACCTATGACATTGAGAAAGCTAGCTCAAGGGTTCCTTAGCATCCTCTTGTATTCCTATAGTCATGTGTCACTTTATTAAGGTGATGCCTTTATCATTTTGTTCTGTTGCATGGCTGTAGCATTATATTTAGTGATTGTCTATTCATTTCACCTATAGGAATACAAGACACACACAGGGAAGCAAGACCCCCTGATTGTCAAGATCATGTCAACTTGCTGACATCTCTACTGTTGTATTTCTAGAGCACTACATACAGATCATGGGTTCTGGCTAATTCTTGCTTCCCAAGGCCCTGTGGGAAGTCAGCAAGTCGATTTCAATTAAGTCACCCCCACACAGATCAGTCTCTCTGTATGAGGGACAAGCTTGAGTTTTTTGTTTTAATTTTTATTTATGGAAGCAAGCCCTCTGCCCCCAGGACTTTCAGTGAAAACAGCTTTCAGAACCTGTCTTGGTGGGGTCTCCTATTTATCAGCAGAGGGCGCTGTACTTGGATCTTCCTGGTGTGAGCTCCACTGAATTTTAACATGTAAGGCCCGGTCAGGAAAAAGGGGAGTTTCAGTGAGCCGGCTTCCTCCTGGTGTTTGAATTTTTTTTTTTTTTTTTTAGCCCTGGGGCATGGGGCTAAATAGTAACACTGCATGATGATTGTGGCTGCTCCAGAGGAAAGAAAGCAAGGGAGAAACTGGATAAATCTGTAAAGCAAGGTCAGCCTTGCTCAGAGTGGCATGGCCACAGGCTTCAGCTCCCAGGATGCATCTCCCAGGCCCTCCACCCTGCAGTGCACAGCGGGCTGTTCTAGGGTCCACAGGGTAGTCTGCCCTTCTTGCTTTCTGAGTGGCCCTCATTGGAAGAACAGCAGTGGATAGCTGTGTTCCTATAGTTGGCCCAGCATGCTCCTGGCAGGGAAGGAGGGAAGGAGAGAAGTGACAGGAGCGCTGGACTCAGGCTGTGGGGGCTGGTGAGACTGCACATGCCCTTGGGAAGAAATCAGCCCCTCCCCCGCCCCACCCCCCATCTCCTGTTCTAAAACTTCATAAGCCAGGAGGAGACCAGCATTGGGGCCTTTGCTTCTTTAATGCAATTGTGGGTTATTTCCTTTTTTTAAGCTAAGAAGTAAGTTTGATTTCCTTCCCTGACTTCATAGTCTTTAATTCGAACCCCATTGAGAGGTGACATGTTTGCCAACACCCCTGGAGAGCTACTAGGCTTCTCTTGGTATGTCCTGTTTGGAAAAGCAAGTTTGATTAATTTCTGGTTGCCCAGTTAAATTTCTACCAAAGGACTGGGAAACTGGGAGGGCCAAGAAAAAAAATTATTATTTTTTTTCCATTTATATGAGCATCTAAATTTGGGGGCAATTTTATGTATCTGCATTAAGAATATGTTTAAGAACATAATTCTTTTATTGTTTGTTTAAGAAGCACCTTATATAGTATGATATATATTTTTTTGAAATTGCATTGCTTGTTTATCAGACAATTGAATGTAATGATTCTGTTCTGGATTTAATTTGACTGGGTTAACATGCAAAAACCAAGGAAAAATATTTAGCTTTTTTGTATACTTTTCAAGTTACCTTGTCATGTATGCAGTTATTGATGCCTGAAACCTGGTGATTATTCATTTAAATGAAGATCACATTTCATATCAACTTTTGTATCCACAGTAGACAAAATAGCACTAATGCACATGCCTATTGTTGGATATTGAATGATAAGACAATCTTATGTAGCAGAGATTATGCCTGAAAAGGAAAATTATTCAGGGCAGCTAATTTTGCTTTTACCAAAATATCAGTAGTAATATTTTTGGACAGTAGCTAATGGGTCAGTGGGTTCTTTTTAATGTTTATACTGAGATTTTCTTTTAAAAAAAATAAAAAAAAAAACAAAAAACAAAAAAAAACCTCTAGGACTATAGATGATGTAATACCAGCTAAATCCAAACAATAATACAGTGGAGGGTTTTACATTATTCATCTACTGTGTTTGTATTCATGTCAAGATACTACTACATTTGAAACGGGCCAAGAACATTAGATGGTTGAAATGTTAGCCCGGGAGTTTCAACAATTTTGGAAATCTCTTTTTATCCTTATTTGAAGTGTCAATAATGAGCTGCTGACATTTTCCAGCTGATGTTGCTGTAGAGTATAGGGTAGATTTTGAATAATTTTTCCTGTCCTTTCCCCCCACTTTGAGCCAATTTAAAGTTTGAAAGACATGATCTACCTGGAGGATACAGATAGGATGGGAAAGTGGGTTTGGGAGATTGATGTATGGGAAAAAGGGGAATAAGAATATTGAAAGTATTCTGGCACCAAGTTTCAGTATTCTACTTGTGCACTGTAATCCAAAAATAACTAGCTCCATTGACAGCCATTTCCAAAATGGCAGCTTGAGTTCTGGAGAAGTAAGTGGCATCAGCAGTGACGTCCAAAGAATAGTTAGGGGTCTGAGTTTCTTTTACCCACTGCCTAGCTTGCTGTAATGATGCTGTAATGCTATCATGCAGAAATAAGGAGACTAGGTATTCCAAAGAGAAGACCCTATTGATGGAGATTGTGAGATTCAGCCCATAAGGCAGTGCAATCTTCGATGGATTTCCCTAGTAGTCTTGCAAATATGCTTAACTATGCCATGTCTTATGCCTTTTGGAGGCTGAATAAATAAGTGACTTACTGATAATTTACTCTTAATCACATTGAGGTGTTCTGTATTTAAAATTTTACTCATTGAAATGGCCCTTGATTTAGGCCATTGGTTTAGAAGACTTCTATCGCTACATGAAACCAATTATGAATCCTTTCCTATTAATACTTTGCAACTCTGAGATGGACTGTGGATACTGGGAATGATCACTAGGACCATAGTAATGACTATATATTTACAGGAAGATCTGCTTGGGGAAACTAGTTCTTTGATAGGCAAATAGAGTTACAGAGTAGCTCATAAGGCAACCATGATTCTCTTCCATGCAAGTCTTGGGAGGTTGATCCAGATAACACTGCACACTCCCTAGATTAAATCCCCAGAAAATTTACTTACACTTAACTGGAGCAAATGAATTTAACTGTGGTCCCAAATATCCATCTTTTCATTAGTGTGATTATGCTCTGTTTCTAGCTGCATTTCTTTTCCATTTAAATTAAGGTGTGGTCTTTTATTTAAGTCATTTAAAATTACTTTCTAATAATTGCTGCCTCTATTATGGCACTTCAATTTTGCACTGTCTTTTAGAGACTCAAGAAACATTTCTATTCTTTCCTTTTTTTTTTGCATCCAAATGTGCCTGAACTTTTTAAATATGTAAATGCTGCCATGTCCCAACCAAACCCATCTTTAGTGTGTTTTTATGAGCTGTGCACCCTGGAAATAACATTTAGTCCCATGAACAGGTGCCTAAGACATGGACCCCTTTGTGTTCACAGAGAGGTCATTGGTCATAGAGACTTGAATTAATAAGTGACATTAAGCCAGTTTTTGTTCTCTCACAGATATAAACAATGCTTTTGGTGCACCACATATTCTTCAGTGTAGAGCTCTTGTTTTATGGGAAAAGGCTCAAATGCCCAATTGTGTTTGATGGAGTGATATGCGCTCATGCTGATGCGTACCATTATTGATGTGATTCCATTTTGTCGCAGCTTTGCTTTGTTTAATGAAACACACTTGTAAACCTCTTTTGCACCTTGAAAAAGTAAAGAATCCAGCAGGATGCTTTAGCACCTGTAAAACATTTTCTCAACCTATTTGATGTTCAAATAAAGGATGAAATGAAAGATTGCCTTTTGTTTTCTTTTGTTTTTATGCTGTACTTGTTGCTAATAGTTCACTACTGTTTCATGGGAAATCAAGGTGATTGGAAGATCTGTAGAACACAGATCTTCCATCCCCCTCTCCTGCGCGCCCCCACTGCAGGTGTATGACACTGACTTCAGGTGCGTAGACACTGACAAGGCACCATCACATGCAAGTTTTAGGATCACTGGCAATTGGTTTTTCAGAGCTTCAGGTTATCAACACAATGGTGATAAGCCATCATCCATTTGTAAGGTGATGAGGAGGATTAAATAAGTTTCTCCTTGAAATAACTGTATTCTATTACTTAGCCCCAACTTCTTCCCAGTGAGAGACAAAGAAGCTTTTTGAGTCCTTATTTACGAATGAAAGAGTGAATAGATGATTGAATGATCTGAAATATATATGCTTAGATCAAAAACCGGTTATCCCCACCATGGAGGTAAAGCAGGATGACTGGTTTCCATTTCAGGACATCCTTTCCTCTCAGAGTTACCTGTTTTCTGTATGACTCACCTGACGAATGGGGGAGAGGAGCACATGATGTATTGAGAGCTACATCACATACAGGCTCCGAATCTAGATTACTCAGTTGGAATCCTCATCCTACCATTTACCTTGCCATCTTGAGTAAGTTAATTTCCCTGTGCCTCATTTTATTTTCCTGTAAAGTGTATTAGTCTGTTTTCCATAGCTACTACTGAAGCCAGATTGAAAGATAGGTAGGTAGTGTAGTTAGGTAAATCGGGTCTAATATCAAGTAAAATCGAAAATGAAGGCCATGTTGAGAATGGAGCCAGGGAAAGCAGAGCAGCACTTGGAATGTTAAAGTTCCCAAGGCCCAGAGCCCATTCTAAAGAAATGTTAATGAAACAGCTCCCAGCAAATAGGGAGGTGCTAATCAAAAGCGGCCCCAGGCCCTTCCTGCCCAAGATTACTCCTCTGGCCCCTCTGCCCCTCACCTTTTGGGTCTCCCCACCTACATTCTATCACTGCAAGATAACAGGACAAAGGACAGGAACACCCACCGACAGAAATGCATGCAGGAAAGCTGAAAGAAGACCTTAGCTGTAAAAGAGGGAAGACCTCCCCTTCCACAGATTCCACCTCTTGGGTCCCCTTCTTTCTCAGGGGAAAAGTCCTTTCTGCTGTCCTTTAATAAAGTTTCCACTTTCCACTCTACACTTGCCTCGGTGTGCTTCTCTGGTGTTATACTTCAGCATTGGGGAAGCAAGGAATTCGTCACCGGTAACACTATGACAAAATATTTAGACTAGGTAACTTGAAAAGAGGTTGATTTAACTCACGGTTTTGGAGGCTGAAGTTCCAAACATCATGGTGCCAGCTCTGGCAACATCTCAAGACCAATGGCCTTACTGTGGGTGTGAGAGTGATAGGGATCACATGGTATGGACAGGAAACCAGAGAACTTAGAGAGGCCAGTCCTGCCTTTTTATAACCACCTTCCCTCTAGAGATCTGTGTAGATCTGTGAGCTATGTTAGTCTCTTATGAGTTCAGTCCACCTCCTCCACCTAATTACCTTTTACCAAGTCCCACCTTTTAAAGGTTCCTCCACTTCTCAATATCACCACACCGAGGACCAAGTTGTCAACACAAGAACCCTGGGGCATGGGTGGGGGACATGCTCATATCATATCCAAATCTTAGCACAGAGTGGGAAAGAGAATACTCCCTCCTGCCCGAAGGAGGGTTGTGAAGACTACTTTGGCTCATCCATGGAGGGCACTTAAGGGCAGTGGCTGACATTTCTCCTCTCTTCCAAGAGTCCTCTGCTATTGTGTAGCCAAACTCACTTATTTACTAGGTTGGGTTGGTTTCATCACATTTTAGTCATAGAGTTATTTGATTTTCTGGTTATTTGATTTCATAGGATACCTGTGAAGATTAAGGCAGACTCACTGTTTTAGTCAGCTTTTTTTGCTGCTGTGACTAAAAGACCTCACCAGAACAATCGTCGAGGAGGAGAGTTTTATTTGAGGGCTCACAGTTTCAGAGGTCTTAGTGCATTCACAGCCGGCTCCATTCCTGGGGGCTTGAGGTGAGGCTGAACATCATGGTGGAAGAGTGTGGTAGAGAGAAGCAGCTCACATAATGATCAGGAAGTCGAGAGAGAGAGAGAGAGAGAGAGAGAGAGAGAGAGAGAGAGAGAGAGAGACTCTACTTGCCAGAGACAAAATATCCACCCTAAAGGCATGCCCCCAATCACCTCCTGCAGCCACCCCTATCTGCTCTCAGTTAACCAATCAGCTAATCCCATGGAGGGGGGATTAATGCAGTGATTGGGTTAAGGCTTCCATAACCCAATCATTTCTCCTCTAAACCTTCTTGCATTGTCTCACAAAAGAGTTATTGGGGGACAACTCACATCTAAACCACAACACCTGGAGCAGGACCAGGCATCTGAGGACTCTCTGCCTGTTATCCATTAGGGCCACACCTCCTGCTGCTGTCCAGGAAACTTACACCAAATGGATTCTGCTATTGGTTTGAATACATCTTCTTTCCCCGCCCCTCTGTTCCTCCATACTGACTTTTTGTTGTTATTGTGTTATTGTGATGAAGTAGGAAATGTACATTTGGTCTCTACCCCACTTACTGAGACAGAATTCCTTAAAGTCTTGAAGATAAGTGTACAAGGAGAATCTTCTATTCTCTTATCTGGCCTGGGACCCTGGTTCCTGACAGAGTGCTCCCAAATTCCTTAGAATTTTGTAGGGGTGATAACTGAGGTAGAATAGAAGAAATTTTAAAAATAGCTAGAAAGGAGACACAAAGGAAGGATGTGAATTTTTTTCTAGATTTTTCTGAGACCTCTTCTGGGTGGATAGAAGTATACCCGACCCAAACTGAGAAGGCCCAAGAAGTCATTGAAACCTTATTAAAAGAAATAATTCCTAGATTTGGACTTGCTAGGTCACTTCAGAGTGACAATGGACATTTCTTTGTCTGAAAGGTATCCCAGGAGGTGTTAAGGCTGTTGGCATTGCTCACTATCTTCAAACCTCCTGGCACCATTGATCCCCAGAAAAAGTCGAGGGGGCTGACTTACATATCAAAACTACGTTGGCAAAACAATGCTGAGAAACTTCAATGTCCTCGTCACCTCTACAGCCTATTGCTGTGTTAAGAATCAGAATTGCTCCTAAAACTCTCTCCAGCAAGCCCTTATGAGATGCTTTATGGAAGACTTTTTCTGACCCCCAAAGAAAGGGCCCTTTTCTGGTTCTCCTTAGCATTCCCACAGCTGTTAAGTCACAGGGGCACACTCTCTGAATCTGTGAATCTAGAAATCATGCTGTCCCTCTTGAGATTTTGCAGAACCAAGACCTTGACAAGTCTGGAATCCATCCCAAGACTCGAACAAGACTTGCAATCAATATTTCCATGAACCTCTAGAAGATTTACAAGTATTATGCAAAAGAAGTGAGAAGGCTGAGCAAGGATGTTTGTTTGTATGTACCACTCAGGGACTCTCTTACTCTTTGTGCTTATTTACTGTCATGGGGTGGGGAGGAGGTTAATATCTCACAGGCATGTGACGCTTCTTCAAGGTTATCAAAGAATGGTTCTACACCCAACAAATCCTGGCCTTTCTTTGTCCCCTGTAGATTAGACAGGACAAGATGTTCAGGCCTTGCCTAGGCAGGGTCATTGTTATCAGCCCGAAGTGACCATAGAAGACAGGTCTTCAAACTTCATCGTCCCTATGATTAAGGGATTAAATTGGTAGGGGGTGAGGTAGGGTAGAAGAAATAAAAAACAGGTAAAAAGGAGACATAAAGGAAGGACAAGGAAGGAAGATTTTAATTCAGAAGTTCTACATATTTTTCCTGGACTGTCACATCCTGAGACTCTCTTTTCTAGATCTGTTACTCCCAAATTCCTGAGAAATCTATAAATCTACGTGTGCAGTGATATTTTTCCCACAATAATTATATTAACAAAGAGGTATGATACCTTGAGGAACCTATAATGTAGGGGGTTTACTGTGAAGTCTATTGATCAGATAACAAAGACTATATCAACCTGAGGATCTGGAGGTTGACCAAACTATCAAAAACCATCTTGAGGTCACCAGACTGATATCATTTCTATATACCTTCCCATATCCACCCCACAATGAGTTTCTTTTAAGAGAACTCCCAAAGGGCCTCTTTCCCTTGAGATTGCCTGCATTCTTCCTTAAATGTCTACCTACTTTCTAAATAAGCCTCTGTCTGTGCCTCTAAATGATGCATATGCCAAGAACCCCTCTGGTCTTGAGTCCAGTTATCCCTGCTCCCTGGAAACTCCTTAGACACTTCCTGGGAGATACCACTTCTCATGTGACAATATGAACACCTTTTGTTCTACTGAGGTGACTCTTGGTGGGCTTTGGGTTAGTCTGAGGTGGGGGCTGGTTGTACAGGAACCAACTTTGCATAGAATTGGAAACTTTCAGCTCCAACATGTGGGAAGGGAAGAGAGGCTGAGGGCTGCATTGCTCACCAATGGCCAAAGATGTGATCGACTGTGTGTGTGTGTGTGTGTATGTATGTGTGTGTGTGTGTGTGTGTAGTGAGGCCTCCCTTAGAGGCCCAAGAGGGCAGGGTTTAGAGGGCTCTGAATAATTCAACAGGTGACGGTGCCTGGAGGGTGGTGCCCAGGGAGGGCATGGAAACTCTGTGCCCCTTCCTCCGTACCTAGCTCTATTTCTTCCTCTCTGTGTTCACTGGAGCCTTCTTTAGATCCTTCAACACCAGCAGCAAAGCTATGGGTCCTCATGAACTGCTGTGTTCTGATGCTGACCCAACAATGGAGGGTGGGGAGTGGGCACAGTACCAGGCAAAATGCCACAAATTCAACCTTCACTTACCCAAAGTTAAGCAGTTTTTCAAGCATGAACATTTCTCCTATTGTTTCAGGCCTTTGATGAATTTGCAGAGGGCTGAAATGTTTGCTGTTGTGAGTTTCCTTCT